TATGCTATTGCAGTTCATCCCCCAAACCCACTGCAAAGCATAGCTTTTGCACGTATGCTAATCCAAACTCTGGTCTTCTTTCCAGAATATTTCATCCAGAGGGTGGACACCGTGGGTGACTCCCAAATAGCCACCTGCCTCCTGTTGGATCGTGTCAGCCTTGGTGGCCCCCCTTTCCAGTGAGTAGGCTCAGGAGTGGACAGGTTGAAGTGTGGGCCTGGATTGATACAAAGGGCCTGCTGGGCATGTCTAAGACAAAACTAGCTATAGGAAGCCCAACTCTTCTTCCTTAGTGACTGTGAACAGTACAGTCAGCAATCAGCCGCTTGGGAGCCAACCCTGGGATCAAGCTGACCCTGGGGACACAGGTCAGAAAAACCCAGAGAAGCTGGTTCTTGGGGATATACAATCTCACCCTGAGCCCACCCTACTTTTGGACTTCCTCTTGTTGAGCTAATAATATTCTGTTTGTTTAAGACAGTTTGAGGTTGGTTTCCTTTAACTTGTTGCTGCAAACAGACATCTTGGTGTGGACACATCTGTCCTCTCTGACATTGAATGCGTGAAAGTAGAGAAACTTCCGTGATCTTAGAAGCCACAAAACACAGACTGAATCAATAACAGAATATTCAGAATATTCAGAATAGCATACATGCACGAGGTCAGCTGTCCTGCTGCAGAAAGAAATTTGGGTTCCAAGCTTGGTCCTCTCCCACTCAACTTAGGTGGCCTCAACCCCATTTAGGGCTCCTGTGTCCTGTGATGACATTTGCACTGTCAATCAAATGAAAGGCTGGACTAAGTGAAGAAAGGACTCTTTTTTTTTTTTTTTTTTTGAGAGGTTTTGCTATAGGGCGCATGTGCTCCCCTGACAGACAGAGAGACAGAAAGTGAGAAATCACCCCCCAGGGGGGATGGCCACACCACAATCCTTCTCCTCCATTCTCCTCTTGGGATCTTGGGCACGCACGCACACGCGCCCAGCGTGAGTTTAAGACACTGGGTCCAGGACTCAAACCACGGTTGACTATGTGGGAGTCCAGCACCAGCCATTACGCCATCTGCTGGTCCAAGAAAGGACTCTTGAGCTCCCCAGAGAGACAGAAAGTGAGAAATCAGCCCCTGGGGGAATGGCCATGCTGCAATCCCTTCTCCTCCATTCTCCTCTCAGGATTTTAGGCACACCTGCCCAGCGTGAGTTTTAAGCCACCGAGTCTGGGGCCCTAACCTCATTGATTGTGTGGGAGTCCAGCAACCTAATGTTATGCCATCTGCTGGTCCCTGAAAAAAAGACTCTTAACCACTGGTTGGCACCTTTAGGCTGTCGCAGTAGGACTTCCAAGGCCCTTACTGGCCCTTACCTGGTGCATGCCGAGACCAGAGCGAGCGTCAGCCCCTCACTCCTCACCTTACCCAGGGCCAGGCTGTAGTCAGGGCAGAAAGAGCCCGTTAGATAGCATATCAGCCTGACCAGGAAAACTCCACATACTTCTGATGTGTAGAACTCCTCAGACCCGGAAACTCTGTGTCAGTCGGCCCAGCTCTACAGCCGTCCCTTAGTACTTGCAGGGATGGGTTCCAGGACATCCCTGTGGATACCCAAATCCACGGAAGCCCGGCGCCTGATTTACATGCATGGGGACTTCAAAAAGCTTATGGAGAAATGGAATTAAAAAGTACAAAACTTTTTGGGACCAGCATAATGGTTACATCACTGGACTCTCCCACATGGCTGACTGCAGTTTGAGTCCCGGGCCTGGTGGCTTGAAAGTCATACTGGGCATGTGTGCACATGTGCCAAAATCTTAAGAGGAAAGTGGAGAAGGGCCAGGCCCTGGGGAATGATTTCTTGCTTTTTGTCTCTGGTGAGTTCATGAGCCCTATAGTAAAAAACAAACAAACAAAAAACTCTCTTAAAAAAATAAAGTCTGGGGACCAGCAGTTGGCGTAATGACTATGTTGACTGCGGTTCGACCTGGTGGCTTAAAACTCACGCTGGGCGCGTGTGCGTGCGTGCCCAAGATCCCAAGAGGAGAATGGAAGAAAAGAGATTGTGGCATGGCCATCCCCCCTGGAGGTGATTTCTCGTTTTCTGTCTCTGTCTCTTAGTGTAGAGCGCACACGCCCTATAGCAAAAAAAAAAAAAAAAAAAAAACAACAAAAAAAAACAAAAAAAAAAGCAAAACAAAAAAAGATAAAGTACAACATTATGAAATCTCTGCATATTTTTTCATAATACTCATTTTCCACGAACTTTTTAAGGCCCACTTTTATAACCTCTACATACTCTCTGGTATACTTCATACCATCTCTAGATTATTTATAATACTTTATAGTACCTAATACAATGTAATTGCTATGTAGACAGTTATTATACTGTATTATTTAGGGAATAATGACAAGAAAAAGACGTCTATGCATATTTAACATAGATACAACTAATTCCTTTTTTCTCAAATATTTTTGACCCATGGTTGAATCCATGAATTTGAAACCTGTGGACATGGAGGGCCAACGGTTTCTGGTACATTTTGTATTAGTAGAATTTGGAGCCAGTAGATGGTGTAGTGGTTAAGGCATTGGACTGCCACATGGCTGACTCCAGTTCAAGTCCCAGACCTGGCGGCTTGGAACTTATACCTGGTGTGTGTGCGTGCGTGCCCAAAATCCCAGGAGGAGAATGGAGGAGAAGGGATTGCGGCATCGCCATCCCTCCTGGAGGATCCCTCACTTTCTCTCTCTGGTGAGCACACACACCCTATGACAAAAAGCTAAAAAAAAAAAGAATGGAACAAAAGAATCCATCCTACTTCCTCAGACCAACCCAAACTGGAGAAGCAAATTCACTCTGCAGAAACAAACAAGAAGCCACTATGTTTTTTGTTTGTTTGAGAGATTTTTGCTAAAGGGCACATGCGCTTGCCAGAGAGACGGAGAGACAGAAAGCGAGAAATCACCCCCCAGGGGGGATGGCCATGCCACAATCCCTTCTCCATTCTCCTCTTGGGATCTTGGGCACGCCCGCACACGTGCCCGGCATGAGTTTAAGCCACTGGGTCTGGGACTCAAACCGCGGTTGACTATGTGGGAGTCCAGCGACGTAGCCATTATGCCAACTGCTGGTCCCGCCACCATGGTTTTTAACACACTGTTTCTAAGCAGCAGGCAGAGGCTAACCTGGCAAAAGATCCATTTTCCTGAGAGGTCACTGAAACAAAGAGGAGGCGAGGGGCGATCCAGGGACCAAGGAGCTCAGCCTTCCGTGTCCCCGGTTGCTCTTCCTCGCAATTTCGCAGCAGAGGAGGGTCTGTGCTTCGCAGGGGTGAGTGGCCCGTGACTGCATTTCCACTTCGTATGCTAACTGTCTGGCCGTTCACATCGGGCCATAGGTTTCAGAGCACTGACGCAAATGTCCTATCTGTGCCTTTCTTCCTCAGCCCCTGGGAGAGGCTGGAATGATCTCCAAATGACACCAAGGCTCAGAGCTACTCACGTGAGTGACTTGCTCAGGGTTCGAGCTTTCCAGTTTCTGCGCCACAGCGTGGCACGATACTGCTTCTTCCTGACAAGCAGCCTTTGTCAGGGGTGCACAGTGGCCCGACTGTTCTGGCCCGAGGGCAAAGTAGACACCGAAGCCTGGGGCACCAGGCAGCATGGCCAAGCCATGACAGGTGGTCACCTTCTCAGCACCCGGCCCAGTGGGAAGGAGCATCCTCGGACCAGACAGCATGGCTTCCTTGCATCGCTCTGGGCAGGCCTCGGGGCAGACGAGCATGTGGAATGAACCGGGCAAAGGGTAGGAGGCTTCACAAAGGCAGGTGAAATTGGCCTCAGCAGAGGACACAAAGAACCAAGGGAGGGAAAGGAACTGGAGGTCTGGACACAACAGGCGCTTCCTTGTACGGAGGAGCTGAGCGACCCCTGCTGGTTCCTTTTATAAAACCCTTCCATATGTTTACCTATAACCCGCTCTTGCTGTGAAATAAAAGCCCTGTTTCTTCTTTACAGAATGTCAGAAATAGGATAAAGTAGGACCAGCAGATGGTGTGGCAGTTACGGTCGCTGGACTTTCACATGGCCAACCACAGTTCGAGTCCCGGACCTGGTGGCTTCAAAATCACGTCGGGCATGTGCACATGAGTGTCCAAGATCCCGGGAGGAGAAGGCAGGAGAAAGGTTTGTGGCGTGGCCACCTCCCACCGGGGGGGTGCTCTCTTACTTTGCCTTTCATTGTGTCTGTCTGTCTCTCTAGTGAGCGCACACACCCTACGGCCAAAACAAAACAAAACACTCTGAAAAAAAAAGGAATAGGAAAAAGTAAAAGAGGCTTTCGATGAGCTCCAGGTACACAATTCTTGGTGGAACTCAGAAGCTGACAGCAGGCACGAGGTAGGTGGGATGAGCTCCCACTGCCTTCTCCTAGAGCCTTGCCCTGCTTTTGAAAACGCTCAGTGAGTCTAGGGAGCCCACTGGAAATGTCTGATAACGAAAATGATGCCATTGGAATTGAGCCCTCCAAAATGAACAAAAAGACCTTCTTGATCACTTAGTTTGAATCCCTAATTATATGTTTAATCCAAATATGTTAAAAGAAGGTAAATTAGAAAAAAAAAAAATCTCCTCCCCAAATCCTAACTGCGAGTAACTCCAGATGGTGCTGCCTTTTTTTTTTGGGAGAGGTTTTTGCTATAGGGCACGTGTTCTCTCCAGAAAGACAGAGACAGAGAGACAGAAAGTGAGAAATCACCCCCCAGAGGGGATAGCCACGCCGCAATCTCTTCTCCTCCATTCTCCTCTCGGGATCTTGGGCACACACACATACACGCCTGGTGTGAGTTGAAGCCACCGGGGCCGGGACTCAAACTGTGGTCGACTACCTGGGAGTCCAGCGACAGAGCCATTACACTAACTGCTGGTCCTGAGATGGTGCTTTTTATAAAAGGTTTGTCAGCAAATGCTGTTTTTAGGGACAGGGTAGCAGGAGAATGGGGACAGGCTAATCAGGAAATGACAGGATTGTTTTTTATTGCAATGACAGTGACAAGGAGTCCCACCCCACCTACCCCCAGCTTTATGGAAAGACTTCCAACATCACGAGCAGCGGTCATCCGCAGGAGGTGACCTCACCCAGGTGCCCAGAGATACTGTGCTCCCTGCCTATATCCAGAGCCGTCTGCCGAGACAAGTCCACCTGCTTGTCTCTTGTTCTCTCTCAGAAAAATATAAAGGCGTTGGTAACATAGCCCAGGGTGACCGTGTGTCTAACATGAGGACAAGTTCCCATAAGCATACGGTGTCAGCTCGAGTGGGGTCAACACAGGAAGGCACACAAAAATAAATAAAAGCAGAGCCCCGGCTCCAGAGGGGCTGCGGTGGCCTCCCGGGATCGGGTCTGCCAGCAGTTGCGTTTTCCAGCATGGGTGTCGTGTTGAGGATGACCAGGGGGCGAGGCAGCTCCTCCTGGAGTAGGTCACGTCAGCAGGCAGGTCACTTGATCCACTGGAGAGCGTCCTCCCCTTCCCAGGCAGGGAGCACGGCCCCTCCATTGTCCTCACGCTGGAAAGCCACGGCCAGGTCTGCCCAGCAGATGTCTACACCCTCGTTAGGGGACCGGGCAGACGGGGCTGCAGGACTCCGCGGTTACCGCCGATCACTCGGGAAGCATTCTACTGGAGGTTGCAGTCAGGAACTGATAAAGTGCTTTTGATGAGAGGAGCTGGTACTTCCTGGCTGTTGCTCATTGCACCCGAGGCGCCCAGGTCGTCAGGAAACGTGATCACACTTACCGTGAGTCAAAACCAGGGAAGCTTGTTCTACTAAAAAGCCTGCATTTCTACGTGTCCTTTTCTATGGATTTCCCCATCTTCGTGTTAGGAAATTCGCTCGCTGGGTAAGGAAAGTTTAGGACGGGTGGAAACACAGAGACAGAAAGGGGAGGACCATAAATATTCTGTCAGGGTTCCACTTGTGAAGGCGCTGGGGAGTGGGGGTTTCAGCACAGAAGGCCGAGCCCCACGCTGAATCCAGAGGTGTGTCCGGACGAGCTGAGGCGTGGATGAGCTTTGAAAGGATTCACGTATTGACCTAAGAGTTTATTCCGAGTCCACATGCTTGATAACTGCTATAACACGCTTGCATCTTCCATGGCCTCAATCCACCTGTAAAAATAGAGAGGACTGGGGTCATGGCTCTGCTTCTATTTATATGTGTTTATTAAACATGTTTTCCAGGGACCAGCAGTTGGCGTGGTGGTTAAGGCACTGGACACTCCCACATGGGAAACCACGGTTCAAGTCCCGGACCTGGTGGCTTGTTTTCTCACTCTCTCTTTCTGGTCAAATTAAAATAAATGAGGGAACCAGCAGTTAGCGTAATGGCTATGTCGCTGGACTCCCATGTAGTCGACCGCAGTTCGAGTCCTGGACCTGGTGGCTTAAACTCACGCCGGGCGCGTGTGCGTGCGTGCCCAAGATCCCAAGAGGAGAATGGAGGAGAAGGGATTGTGGCGTGGCCATCCCTCCTGGGGGGTGATTTCTCGCTTTCTGTCTCTCTGTCTCTCTCTGTCTTTCTGGTGAGCGCATGCGCCCTATATCAAAGGAAAAAAACCTCTCCCAGAAAAAGAAAAGGAATGAATAAATTTTAAAAGTTTTCCACATTTGCCGAAAAGCCTGGCACACAGTGAAAAGGTTTACCAAATTCGTGCGTGCCCGCGCAAACGAAGCAGATTCTAAGAATTCTTCGTTACAGAACAGGGAGTTCTGCAGTTCTGCTACGGCCGAGAAGGCCAGATGGGATAGGATGGCCGAAACAGAACGGAAGCCAAAGCCCCGGGTCACAACTCGTTTCCTTCTGAGAGGTGAGGACATACAGGACCAGCTGTTTCAGTACCTCTGAGCCGCACTGGGATCCTCTGCTTTGAAGCTATAAAACAGGGTTTTCTTGTGGTAAAGGTGAAAAGTAGGTCCTACTTCGCTGCTGCCCTCTCCCTTCTCTGGGGCAATGGTGAAACCTAGCAGAGGCATACTCTCCATGGCCACCTTGTCCTGCAGAGGGCAGAGAAGAACCGATGTCACACAGCGCGCCGCGCACAGCCAAAGCGCTCAGCACTCGCCGTCCGCTCCCATCCAAGACGCAGGAAGAGCGCCCCCGTGTGGACGTGCTAACCACCCGCCACCCCTCCACCCGAGCCCTGAAGGAGGGAAAACCACTGTGACAGCCTGTTAGAGGCCAGGCATTTTCTCTTTCATTGTCTGTTGTAGTTTAATCTTCATCACGCTCAGAGAAGGTGTCACTCCCATTCTAAGAAGAAAAGGAGGCTGAGAGATGGTCACTCCCCAAGATGACACAGCCGGTGAGGTGCAGAGCCAGAGTACAGACTCATAACCACCTTCCAACTCCATGTTCTTTCCACGGACTTGATCAGTCAGTGACTCAGCGCTCCAGGGCTACTGGTAACATGTTCATACTCATTCCTTCAAACCCTCATGGACAGGGACCAGCAGTTAGCGTCATGGCTATGTCGCTGGACTCCCATGTGGTCGACCCCTGTTCGAGTCTCGGACCTGGCAGCTTCAACTCATGCTGGGCGCGTGTGCGTGCGTGCCCAAGATCCCAAGAGGAGAATGGAGGAGAAGGGATTGCGGCGTGACCATCCCCTCAGGGGTGGGGTGATTTCTCGCTTTCCGTCTCTCTGTCTCTGTCTGTCTTTCTGGTGAGTGCACGCGCCATGTAGCAAAACCCTCATACGCAGAAAAAAAAAAAAGAAAAAAGAAAAAAAAAACCTCATACGCAGTACTCAATAATGGGTACTTGGCTGTACGTGCTATTGATGAGCTGTTCCTCTCACTGCTGACTGCCTACACAGGGCTCCCCCGAGCCTGCCCTCACAGGCTCCCTGCGCGTGCCCTGTGCAAGGACTGCAGAAGGGCGTATGTCATTGCAGTCTCTTCCGCCAAGATGGAACGCCCACCTGTGAGCCCTTCTGTAGGGCAGGCTGTGGGGGACAGGTAGGCCATCGAGAAGGCCTTGGCTCACAGTGTCCAGGTCACTCAGGGCACCTGTGCATCCCACCTGCCGGCCTCCCTGCAGCCTCTGTGATCCCTGAGGACAGGCACAGCCGCAGGTCCTCCGAGAGGGGAGCTGTGTGTCCTGGCAACACGGGCCTTTGCGCATGCCAGCCACACATCTCCACCCACTGCTGCAGCTGCTGAGAATGCATTTAAGGGGGCCAGCAGGTGGCGTGGTGGTTAAGGTGCCAGACTCCCATATGGCTGCTCACGGTTCAAGTCCTGGACTCGGCAGCTTGAGAATCACGCTGGGTACATGTGTGTGCATGCCCAAATCCCAAGAAGAGAATGGAGGAGAAGGGATTGTGGCATGGCCATCCCCCCGGGGGTGATTTCTCACTTTCCCACTTTCTCTCTCTCTGTCTCCAGCCAGTGCACGTACCCTATGGCAAAAAAAAAAAAAAAAAAAAAAGAGAGAGAGAGAGAGAGAGAAAGAAAAAAAAGAGAAAAAAAACACATGCATCTATTTAAAAAAGAATGCATTGAAGTTTTCAAAGAGAATTAGCCTGTAGAAGTCAGCAGATGGTGGAGCCTGGAAACGGAAATCTTTCACTTTTGCCCACAGGGTCAGCCCAGGTCAGAGCCACACCGCCCCTCTGAAAACCCAGCCCCACGAAGTCTACTCCCCAGGAAGGCTGGTTTCTGAGGTTCTCACCCAGATTTTAGGAGATGTAAGTAAGGCGTTCTATAAAAACAGACACTTCAGTTCTGTTTGCACTTTGACTAGTTAACGGTTTCCCTCCTCCCCCAGCCACCACCACCAGGCTGCCGAATTTGGGACAGGAGAAGGCTTTGCGCCGTGGCGTGCCTGGCTCGTCCTAGGCGCTGGGCCTGGGGTGGGTACACACCGCATGGGCCCACCTGCCACATGCGGTACCGTCTCATCCTCCACCAAGAAACCGCAGACCCTTCGATCTGGAAGTGCCGCGTGATTTTGCATCCACAGCGCCACTGGCCAACTGGCAGTGCCCGGTCAAGATGTGACTGCCAGGAGAACCGGTCCAGCTTCCAGGACCCACGTCCCGCAGGTGGAGGGACAGGTTCAGACCCAGGCGGGCTTCGGAGGCACAGCGTACTGAACCCGAGGGCTTCACGGGGGAGGGGGTGACGGCGCGAACGCCACTACCTCGCTGGCCGCGTAGGTGTAGAGCACTTTGCCTTTGATGACAAACCAGAGCTTCTTCCAGGGCCGCTTCCCCTTCTTACACCGGCTGAGATGGCCACTGATGGTGCAGCCCTCTCCGGAGGCGGCCACCTGGCAGGAGCAAAGACAGCGGTCAGGGCACCGGGGGCTCGACACAGCCCGAACACAGCCAGGGTGACTCGGTAACCCGGCTGGCAGGCACCCGATCCCTCTAGGACTGACGTCAGCAAAAGGGCCCTTCCTGGTTTGAAGAACAAGACGTACTGAACACACTGGGGGACTTGTAGTCAGAAACCATGTTCCGGGGTGCCAGTGCATGGAGTAGTGGTTACACTGTTGGACTCCCACATAGCCCATCATGGTTCAAGTCCTGGACCCGGAGGCTTGAAACTCACGCGGGCAGGTATGAGAGTATGCCCCAAATCCTGAGAGGAGAACTGAGGAGAAGGGATTGTGGCATGGCCATCTCCTCTGGGGGATGATTTCTCGCTTTCTCTCTGTCTCTCAGACAAGCACATGTGCCCTATGGCAAAAATCTCTCTAAACAAACAAAAACCAAAAACCAAAATGCCTTCTGCAGTGCTGCCTGGGATTCTTAGTTCCCACTCGCCAACCTCTGGCCCTCACTGCAAACTCAGAAGGATCTTCCTGGTACCAGCAGATGGCGTAGTGGTTACGTTGTTGATTCCCATATGGCCGACCACAATTTGAGTCCCGAACCAGCAACTCGAGAGTCACACCTGGTGCACGTGCGTGTGCGTGCATGCCTAAGATCCCAGGAAGGGAGTGGAGAAGGGCTTGTGGTGTGGCCATGCCTTCCCCGGGGGGCCATTTCTCACTTTCCCTCTCACTGTCTCTGTCTCTCTCCCTGGTGAGTGTTTGTGCTCTAAGGCAAAAACCTCTTAGAAAAAAAAAAAAAAAAAGATCTTCCTGCTAAAACGAATTGTGCACGTTTTAGTCCATCTCCTTCTTACATCTGAGGAAGAAGCCTTGCCCTACTGATCTGAAAGGGCTCCTGACCTGCCGGTGAGGTCGGTGCGGCATTATCTTTTGTTGTGTTGATAATGGCGAGGGTGCTGGTCACAGTGAAAGCGGTATTCTAGCACACAGGCTTCATGTGCAGGGCAAGAACACAGGCTGGGGCCAGCAGGTGGCGTAGTGGCTAAGGTGATAAGACTCCCCACTTGGCTGACTGCTGTTCGAAGCTCCAGACCTGGCGGTTTTAATATCACGCCAGGCATGTGTGTGGGCATGCCAAAAATCCCAGAAGGAGAATGGAGGAGAAGGGACCGTGGCATGGCCATCCCTCCTGGGGAGTGATTTCTCACTTTCCTCTCACTGTCTCACTTTCTCTTCAGTGAGTGCACATGCACTATGGCAAAAACAAAAACAAAACAAAAAACCCTCAAAACAAAACATAAAGTAAACCCCAGAAACACGGGCCTGGAGTAACACCAATCGGGGTTCCAATCCAGGCTCTGCCTGTGACCAGATGGGCCATTTTGGCCAACTGACTGACTTTCTTAAGTTTCTGTCTCCATACTAGGAACAGAACGAAGCAACATGACAAGTAGCTGACAGGCACAGGGCCTGACCCCCCAGAAACTAGCCCCGAAACTAATCTATAAATATTAACTTTTTTTTATAGAGTTTTTTTTTTGTTTGTTTTTTTGTTTTGTTTTGTTTTTTTGCTATAGGGCATGTGCACTCACTAGAAAGACAGAGACACAGAAAGCGAGAAGTCACCCCCCAGGGGGGATGGTCACGCCACAATCCCTTCTCCTCCATTCTCTTCTCGGGATCTTGGGCATGCATGCACACGCGTCCAGCGTGAGTTTAAGCCACCGGGTCCGGGTCTCAAACTGCAGTTGACTACATGGGAGTCCAGCAACATAGCCATTACACCAACTGCTGGTCCCTTAACTTTTTTTTTTAAATAGTCAGAGGGTGTGGCAGAGCAAGATGGCAAGGGGCAGGGAGAAGGCACCCCTCAATGAGTGTGGCTGATCACAATCTCTTCTCCTATTTCTCCATCCGCTGGGATTTGGGGCACACATACTTCCAACATACTTTACTTCTAATTTCTTTTCTCTTTTTAAGAAAGATTTTTACTATAGGGTGTGTGCACTCGCCAGAGAGACAGTCTAAGAGCAAGAAATCACCACCCAGGGAGGATGGCCACACCGCAATCCTTTCTCCTGACTTTCAAAGCAAGAATTTAGGCTGGCAGGTGGCGTGGTGATTCAAGGTGCTGGACTCCCACAAGGCAAACCATGGTTCAAGTCCTGGACCTGGTGGTTTGCCTTCTCACTTTCCTTCTCTCCCTGGTCAAATTGGAAAATAATAATAAAGTTAAAATAAACTAATAATAATAACAATAAATAAATAAAGCAAGATGGCGTGGCCAGGTTTAGACACAATTTTGTTTGGCTTTCTCTGTTCTCAGATGGGAAAAATGAGGCTGAGCAATAGTGGGACCTACCGAAGGTCCTCTCTCAACTCAGCTAAGAGAGGGAAAGCTCGGATCTGTTGCATGCACTCGGAGTTCAAGGTCAGAGGAGGGAAAGGAGCCTGCACCCAGCTCAGTACCAGGAAAGGAAGCTGGTCGTCACCTGCCCCGTCACCTGGGGCCTGGGCCGCCTCCTCCCACCTGCCCTGCTGGTGCATCTCCATGAGCCAGGAAGACATGGTGGGCACAGCATGGCAGGGAATACTGACTGTGCACCCTCTCTTTCTGGAGAGGTGTCAGAGCGGTGTCTCTGTAGACGCTCCCACAGAAAGCAAGTCTTACTGCCAGGGCGGAGGGAGACTCGAGGGCACGACTGTCCCGGGCCTCTATGGATCCCACCGCATGCAGTCCTTGCTAGACGATAAAAAGCTCATTATTTTGGCAAAAATCACTTGGCAGGCTGTGGCAGACTCACATGGCACCAGGATCAGGGCGGCCTGCCTCTAGAAGTGGTTCTCAAACTCTGCACCTGAAAACACTCAGGCCTGGGCCGGCAGGTGGCATGGTGGTTAAGGGCATTGGACTCCCACATGATCGACCACGGTTTGAGTCCCAGACCTGGTGGCTTGCTTTCTCACTTTCCCTCTCTCTCTGGTCAAATTAAAATAAATAAATAAATAAAAAATAAATAAGAATTTTTTTTTTTTTTAAGTGCTGGATCCCGCATGGCTAACAGTGCAATTTAAGTCCTGGGCCCAGCAGTTTGAAAAACACGCTGGGTGTATGTGTGTGCATGTTCAAAATCCCAAGAGGAGAGTGGAGGAGAAGAGACTGCACCATGCCATCCCTACTGGGGGGTGCTTTCTCACCTCCCCTCTCCCTCCCTGTGTGTCTTCAGAAGTGCATACATCCCAAAGCAAAAAAGAAAAAGAGCACTCGGGCTCTGAGAGGCATGCTCACACCGCTAACGCATTAGTGGGCAGTCTCCTCTGATTCACGGGGAGTTAATGAAGGGTGGGACAGCTACATCAGAAATGTGCGCTTGATCTGTTTCCGCAAATAGGAAATGATCTCTCGGATAAATCAGGTGGAAAATGTATAGAAGATAATATATTATCTTTTCGATAAAATGAGGATCCTTGAATGTGTGTGTATGTGTGTGCATGTATGTGTGTATATGTATGTGTGTATGTGTGTGTATATATGTGTATGTATGTGTATATGTATGTGTGCATGTATGTATGTGCATGTATGTGTGTATATGTATGTGTGTATGTGTGCGTATATATGTGTGTGCATGTATGTGTACATGTGTGCATGTATGTGTGTATATGTATGTGTGTGCATGTATGTGTGTGCATGTATGTGTGTGCATGTATGTGTGTATATGTATATATTTATTTACATTTATGCATGAAAATTTCTATCAGGTTGTTGGGAAAGTCACGATGTATTTTCTATGTAAAAAAGAGTCACGTGGGGCCGGCAGGTGGCGTGGTGGTTAGGGGCGCTGGACTCCCACAAGGCCGACTGTGGTTTGAGTTCCAGACCTGGCAGCTGGCTTTCTCACTTTCTCTCTTTCTCTTTCTCTCTGTCACTCTAAAATAAGCAAATAAATAAAGTTAAATAAAAATAATAATTTTTAAAAAAAAGAGTCATGACAAGACCAGCAGATGGTGTAATGGTTATGTCGCTGGATTCCCATGTAGTTGGCCAGAGTTCGAGTCCTGGACCTGGTGGCTTATAAAACTCACACCGGGCACATGTGCGTGTATGCCTCAAATCCCGAGAGAATAGAGGAGAAGGGACTACGGCGTGGTCATCCCACTGAAGGCCGATGACTCATTTTCTGTCTCTCTCTCTCGCTGTTTCTCCAAGTGCATGTGCCCTATACCAAAAAAAAGCCATCTCTCTTAAAATAAAGATGCACCGGGACCAGCAGTTGGCGTAATGGCTATGTCGCTGGACTCCCATGTAGTCGACCGCAGTTCAAGTCCCGGACCCGGTGGCTTAAACTCACGCCGGGCGCATGTGTGTGCGTGCCCAAGATCCCGAGAGGAGAATGGAGGGGAAGGGATTGCGGCGTGGCCATCCCCCCTGGGGGGTGATTTCTTGCTTTCTGTCTCTCTGTCTCTCTCTGTGTATCTGGCGAGAACAGGCGCTCTATAGCAAAAACCTCTCCAAATAAATAAATGAATAAATAAATAAAGATGCATCATGACGTCCGTGACAATCCAACAGGAGGGTCCATAAGACACTCGATGATGGCTGCCTCTGGGAAGTGGGATTGAGAGAGGCTGGGGAGAGAGAAAACTCACCTTTTCTCTTAGGTCCTCTTTTTGAACTTTTTTTTAAAACCATGTATGTGTTATTTCCAAGATTTTTTACCGAAGGAGCAAGTGCGTGGACAGCACTGTACCCCTTTAACACGTTCACTCCCTAGCTCTCTCCCAAACCCGGCCGCTGCTGCTTGGTGAGGACTATGAATGGGGAGACCTGGAGACAGGCTCGCCTTTCTCTGGATGGCTTGGACGCTCTCAGGCACACGTCTGTCTGGTTGTGATTACGATTAGAAAATCGAGATAAGACTTTACTAAAAATATTCTTTCTGTCATCAGGGGACATAGTGGTTAAGGTGCTGGACTCCCACATGGCTGACCGCAGTTCGAGTCCTGGACCCGGTGGCTGGAAACTGATGCCAGGTGCATGTGAGTATGTGCGCAAAATCCCAAGAGGAGACTGGAGCAGAAGGTCCATCCCCCCAGGGGTGATTTCTTACTTTCCCTTTCAGTGTCTCTGTCTCTCTCCTCTTTGGCAAGCGCACACACCCTACAGCAAAAACCTTAGGGGGGAAAAAATGAAAATAGACATAAAATCTAGTCCTGTTTGCAGGACGGAATTCTGTTTAGCCAGATCTGAGGCTTCCTGCAGAGTCCCACAGCCCTGGGGCTTGCATCTGAGTCCGCTTGAGACCGCAGGGTGAGGGCAGGAACAGCCAGACATGGCAGAAGGAACCAGGACCCTGGCTCCTCTGTCTGAACAGCCCCAGCCATCTCTAACGGTCCCCGGGGCACCAGGTCTAGGCTGTGGAGCAGGAGGAAAAGGAAAGAGGTAGGGAGAAGATAGAAGATAGAGGATGAGGAGAGAGCTCTCCCCGCACCATCTAAAGCCATTCAGGTCCCCCCATCAGCCACCATGGAAGTGACTTGTCAGTCATGCCCAGGAGAGAAGCTTGTCTTTAAAGGCTGGCAAGGAGGAAAGGCATTTCCCCCCTCCTTTTTTTAGAGAGATGTTTGATATAGGGTGTGTGTACTCCCCAGGGAGACATAGAGACAGAAAGCGAGAAATCACCCCCCAGGGGGGATGGCCACACCGCAATTCCTTCTCCTCCATTCTCCTCTCGGGATCTTGGGCATGCATGCACATGCGCCCGGCGTGAGTTTTTAAGCCACCGGGTCTGGGACTCGAACCGCGGTCGGTCATGTGGAAGTCCAGCGATGCAACCATTATGCCATGTGCCTGCTGAGCCTGACCTCACAGCCGAATGTCTTCTTTAGTCCAGAAGAGACTGGTTCGACTGGGACAGGGGAGGATCTGGCCCCACCCCCCGCAGAGGACGGTGACCCTCCAAGGCAAGACCTCCGCCTCTCCCGACAGCCCCGCCCGCCTTACCTCGGTCAGGGCCGAAGGGACTTTCTTCTGCTTCTTGAAGGTGGAGGGGTGGATGCTGTGGAAGACGGAGGAGAAGGCGCTGCCCGAGAAGCGGGCCGAGGACAGGGGGAAGCTCATGCTCACGGGCCGCTCTGTACCGAGAGAAACCACAGGGCGGGAGGTGAGGGGACAGAGCCGACAGGTGCACAGCTTGGTGTGGCACGCAGAATCCCCGGGGCCTGAGCCCGCCTCATGGGGGGGGCTAAGCGCCGCCAGGACGGCACACACCCTCCTGCTACAAGGGCAGGGGCTCTGGGGCTGCTCCCCGGGGTTCCCGGCCCCGCTTCTCCAGGCCTCCTTGGTGGGGCGCTGGGCCGGGCCCTCTGATGACCACAGGGAGGGCAGAGACAAACACGCTGGTTTTAGGCCTGGGGGGTACTTGCCCGTCTTCCGGCCTGCTCCTGCCTGGGCAAATCTCCTCCAGCCCCCGGTCCCTCCAGGGCCAGCTCTGCACCCCGAGGTTCCTGTAAAGGGCTCTGCCCTTCCTCACCCACACTCCCTCTGTCAGCAGCAGAATCCCGGGTCCCCCAAAGGCCCCCAGGAACCAGGCCTGTGGCACCCTGGCCCAGAGTGGCCTCCGGGGTCAACACCGGCACCCCGGCCAACTCTGCAGTGAACGGGGAAAATGGGGGGACAAGTTAAGGCAGGGGATGGCCAGAATGCGGGGCTCCCTGGAGGGGGCAGGACCCCTCAACTCAGCTGGCCGCCGAGCCCTCCTCTGGAAGCACCTGTCCACTTCCCATGCAAACAGTGCCCCGGAGTGAACCCGAACCTCTGCTTCCTCCCAGGCTGCCCTGGTTCTGGGCCTCTGCCCTCCACGGAGTCACTCCCTCCTGGGATAGTGGCCTTCATGCAGGAGTCATGGGTCCCGGAGCAGCCATGGAGCCTGGGGGCAATGGCAGGAGACCACCCGAAGAACCCAGGGGTCCTGAGCTTACCCCGCAGCACTCCCGGGACGGCCCCGCCCCTCTTCTTCAGCTCTGCAAAGCAGCCATCGCACACCTTGGCCATCCGGTCCTTGAGGTACTTCAGGGGGTACTTGTTTCGTGAACAGTTCCGGCACACGATCTGCGGCGGAAGTCGGGGACACCTGAGTGAGTGGTCCTCCCCCTCCAGTTAGGCAGTCCCCGTTCACCATGAATTTCCTGCAGCTGCTTCAGCCGAAAATGTTACATGGAAAATTCCAGAAATAAACAATGCCCACGTGTTGACTAATCCACAGTGTGGTTACTGTCAGGACCGCCCAGGTCTGGTTCTTACTGGGTGCCTCATTTATTTTATTATTATTATTATTATTATTTTGGAGAGGTTTTTGCTATAGGACGCGTGCGCTCGCCAGACAGACAGACAGAGAGACAGAAAGCGAGAAATCACCCCCCAGGGGGTATGGTCACTCCGCAATCCCCTCTCCTCCATTGTCCTCTTGGGATCTTGGGCACACACGCACACGCGCCCGGTGTGAGTTTAAGCCACCGGGTCCAGGACATGAACCGTGGTCGACTACATGGGAGTCCAGTGACATAGCCATTACACTAACTGCTGGTCCTGGTGCCTAATTTATTGATGACACTCGCTCACCGGAAGGCAGGCACAGGGAAATACAGTGTGAGGGTTCAGAGCTAACCATGGCTTCGGGCACCCAGTGGGGGGCTTGGAATGATCCCCTGCAGATGGGGGCTGCTGCGCTAGAGGGGACCAGCATCCTCTTGTGCTCGCCCACCATCCCCCTGCCCCTTCCAGGGAGCCCGGCATTCTGGCTGTCTCCTGCCTTTCCTTATCCCCCCACTTTCCTGATGCACCCATGCCCGCAATCACCACCCCATGCGTGTCCTCCAAGCGTGGTCCCGTGTAGCCCGGTTTTGTCCCACACTGCGGTGGTGAGTGGAACGCCCCGGGCTTTCCAACCCTAGCTTGAGGGTGTCAGTGAGATGGAAAAGAACCACCTCTCCCTCCCGGGCTGGTGTGAACAGCCGGGCTCCAAACCCCTGCAGGACTGCCAGCCACCCCTGAACCCACACCGCGGGGCTCCGCAGACAGCCGGCTCACCTTGCCACAGGCATGACAGTGATGGCGCCGCAGGGCGAGGGAGAAGTCACAGCCGCAGTTCATGCACATCATGACGTGTGCGACGGGCACCAGCGTGGGGGGCCGCTCGCCCAGGCTCACACCCAGCCTCTCCCGCATCTGGAGCAACAAAAGCAGGCGTGCAGGGTGGTCAGAGAGTGGGGAGGGCAGCCGGGTCAGCCCGCCCTTCTCCACGAGGGGCGAGAGGCGCGTGGGAGGGCGGAGCGGACTGAGCCAACTCTCCGTGTCCTGCGGGAGGTGGAGCCGGGGTGGGAGGCCGCCAGACTGGGAGGTGACAGTTGGCGTCTGTTCCAGGGCCGCACAGAGGCTGTCCCGCAGGTG